ACATATCTATATATATATATATATATATATATATATATACACATACATATATACATATAAATATACTAAAATAAACTACTACTTGTACTAATATTCCGAATTGGTGGTTTTTTACTCATCACGTGTCTTCAGGGTACGGATCCCCCAAGATAAATGAGGGACTACTGTATCAGCCTTTCTTCTTTGGCAGTGGATGATTAAAATAGAAAACAGAATGGGACCTAGGATAGATTCTAGAGGAACACTTGTGGGAAATGTCAGATGTCAATGCTCTCCTTTTAAATGTAAGGACACCCATCGACTGAACGATGCACTTGCTAGGCAAGATCTCCAAAGTTAAAAGAATCCTTCAGCACCTGATGAAACTTCTCTTCTGCTTATATCATATACAGTGTATTAAGTCTTAATCTGCCTTGCCATGTCTGAAATTAAATTTGACCTTTTCCAGCGGTTGACTACCCTATGCATCTGCTGTCCAATATTCATCCCACCCCTGTCAAGAGGAGCAGTGGTTCCTTCCGGCAGGTACAATATTTTTATATGTTTATATTAGTTCTTTGCTACTGATACAGCATTAATTAGAGAGGAGGAAACTGTGGCAGTGTTTACTAGTGTAGGTGCTGAATATGAGGTTTAAGGAATCTTAAAGAAGGTGATTCGCTCAAGATTGAACAAATAATGTCTTTTTTCTGGAGACTGAACAGCTTCAGGAATACACCACACCCACTGTCCAAAGGGTTACTTTGTGTGTGCTCTAAGTGTGTGTGTGTGTGCACTGGTGTGTGTGTGGGGGGGGGGGGGGGGGTGCATGAACTGCTTGCACAAAATGTTCTAAAGAACAGATAGACCCACACAAACCAACAAAGTCCATGCTCAATACTCCAGGTATACAATCCAACATTTTTCAGTCAGGTCATCTGGACAGTTTCTTTTTTTTTTTTGGTGCTGAAACGTTTCACCTTCCATCCAGAAGGCTTCATCAATCAAGAAAACACACAACACAAAACTGATTCTTCCCCCAACAGCTTACTCCAAAGTGGAACACACCAGTTATGTTGGTGCTAAGATGGTGTCTTTGGCACGCCCCCTACTCCGGTGCCGGCCCTCTACATGTTGGGGAGGAAAAATCAGCTTTGTGTTGTGTGTTTTCTTGACTGATGAAGCCTTCTGGATGGAAGGTGAAACATTTCAGCCCAAAAAAAAAAAAAAGAAACTGTCCAGATGACGTGACTGAAAAATGTTGGATAGACCCACACAGTTTGAGTCAACAAAAGCAATTATAGGATGAGGATAAGCTGAAGGCCAAAATGTTCCAAAGGTGTGACCAATGTGCTCCAACATGTCCAAGAGTGGCTGTTCATAACCAAACCACATGCACACCCTCATTTGTTTTTCATGTCTCAATTGAAGTCACTAGTCTCACCCCTTCTTCTCACTGTGTCTTCAGGAGGCCAGTCAGCCCCTCAACCTGACCTCCAAACCAAAGGGTCTAGAGCTGGGGAAAACATCCAGTCCACAGAGCCTAGAGCTGGGATCGCTGGGGCTGCAGGTGACCTACAGATCCAGAGATGTTCAGAGGGAGTCTCACACCCCGCCTTGCTCTGCCATCAGTGAGTAAACCAGAAACATAACCCACAATACAAGCTGAGAAGGCCATCAGAGCTGCGAGTTCATGCAGTGGGGGAGGGTGTAAAGGTATCTGTGCTGCTTTCTGAGGCACCTTGAGCTTTGATCATGACATGGACTTCAGCTGCAAATCAGAATAGCTGAGATAGTTTTAAACCAAAGAACCAGAGTTGTCTTTCAAAGAACCTTTAGATATTAAAATGTATGCTTTAAGGCAGGGGTCCCCAACATTTATTGCACCACAAGCTGGCTTTATGCTAAACTATTTTTCCACGGAGCATTTGCAGGGGTGCTGAGTATGAGAATATGTCATGTGCACAACATATTCAGTAGCATTCAACACCAGATGATCTGTGTTTGATCCTGTATGCTCCACACTGGTTTGTCATCATTATCTGCATCGTTTTTATGTCTATATTCTGATTTACCTCATTTTGTATTTTGCTTTGTGTGTTACCTGTTGTTCTGTCTGTACAGCACTTTGGTTGGCCTTGTCACTGTTTAAAGTGCTTTATAAATAAAGTGGTATGGTATAACAAAACACAATAAAATGCATCATATGTATTTTAATTAATACATCTATAATTTAAATATAATTATGATTTAATAGTTTGTAATTTTATTTATTATTATTTTGTGGTTTATTTAATATATTACTTAATATAATAAACTCCTTATTTATTCATCACCGTTCATCATAATTTATTTATTTGCAATTCCTAAAGGCTGATTACTTGAGGTTATATAACTTTGAGTTTGAGCACAAGAGCAATACCAAGCCATCATCAGTGGAGCTCCAATACCTTGATCCATCCCGGCAACCACAAGGCAGAAATAACAGAGCTGCTTCATGTATGTGTACCACTGAGTACACGGAGCAGATGAACTGAGATGCCAAATGAAGATGTTACATCTCACCTGAGCTCTTTGGCACAACTTGATTATTCATGTTTTAATAATAATTAGACTTTTTTAGTATTTAGAACTATTAAGAATCAAATCAATAAAAAAGAATGAGCCATTATCCTTCAAAAAAACTTATTTGCCCAAATTTCAATTTCTAAAAAAATGTTTTCATAAAGATGTGTTCAACCAATCAGCTGTTTTTTAAGACTTAGTAAAGGAAGGCTTTCTTGAAGGAATGTATACAACTTTTTTGGTACCAAAGTTTTAAACTAAGACCATCTTGTGTTGAGAAATGGTGTTTTAGATGACAACATGCAGAATCTCATGGGATCTGGTATGTGTTGAGTATGAAGGGCCCTGCATACTCCTTCCAATGCTGAACGCTCGACTCAGCCACGTGGTTGCAGGACATTCGTTTCACACACATTTCATAGTCCACAAGACACGCAATGTAGTGCTCCTGGGAAATCCCTCCCACAGCAACATTTATCACCACACAGGTTTTTTCTTGTGTTGAGAAGAGGTGGGCGAAGCTTCTCTGAGAGCAAAATGGCACGATTTGTGTCACGCAACTGCGTCAATGAGATCCAGTTCTGCGGCTTTGGATGGAGTGTGCAGGGCTCTTGTCTCTCTGCTACTACCACACCAAACTTTAGACCAGTACCTGTAAAATTTATAACCACTGTTGGGTTTGTTAAGTTGCATTGTTCAAAAGCAGCGTAAAAACACTTTAAGGTAAAACTTGTGGTTTTTGTTAACATCCGGCATGTAGCTAAATACTATTTTTATCTCTAATTTGTAATAATCTTCCTTAAAGGATGCTATTTTAATCCTCTGCAGTTGCTATTAGGACCAAAGTTACTGTATTTATTTACTTCGCCTTTCTCACGTGTGCTTGATATTTTTTTGCATCATTACCTTCTTGGCGTTTATTTTATTTTTTAATTTGCTTTTTGTCCTCAGGTTTCCTGGGAGATGGCGACGTGGTCACCAAGGCCATTCATGATGCCCAACAGCTCCTGAGAAGTCACTGCATGAGAGGGAGGGACAGGGAGAGAGATGGTGGAGGGACAATGGTAAGCTAAAAACTTTGTTCTGGCCCTTGTATACCACTCACTGTTGAAGGTAAAGGCAAGGGGATCAAGTTTTGCCCATGTTTGTGTGTAAATATCGCATAAACCACTTATTTTAAAAAAAATCTCAATAAATAGATACAATTTGTGCAACACGGTGGCGCAACTGGTAGAGCTGCTGCCTCTCAGCGAGCAGGTTACTGTGGTTCAAATCCCGGTCCGGGCGCCTTTTTGGTGGAGTTTACATGTTCTCTCCGTGCATGCGTGGGTTTTCTCCAGGTACTCCAGTTTCCCCCCACAGACCAAAAACATGCATGTTAGACTGATTGGTAACTCTAAATTGTTCCTAGGTGTCCCTGTGATGGACTGGAGACCTGTCCAGGGTGTCCCCCGCCTCTCGTACAGTGATTGGTCGACATGGGCTCCAGTGACTCCCACGACCCAAAAAGGAAGATGCGAGTAAAAGATAATTGATGGATAGATACAATCTACAGTACCTTGTGAAAGTATTCGGCCCCTTGAACTTTTCAACCTTTTGCCACATTTCAGGCTTCAAACATAAAGATATAAAATTTTAATTTTATGTGAAGAATCCACAACAAGTGGGACACAATTGTGAAGTGGAATGAAATTTATTGGATGTGTCAAACTTTTTTAACAAATAAAAAACTGAAAAGTGGGGCGTGCACTATTTTTGGGCCCCCTTGCGTTAACACTTTGTAGCTCCGCCTCTTGCTGCAGTTCCAGCTGCAGTTCCAGCTGCAAGTCTCTTGGGGTTTGTCTCCATCAGTTTTGAACATGGAGACACTGAAGTTCTGCCCATTCTTCCTGCAGAACAGCAGGAGCTCAGTGAGGTTGGATGGAGAGCGTTTGTGAACAGCAGTCTTCAGCTCTTTCCACAGATTCTGGATTGGATTCAGGTCTGGACTTTGACTTGGCCATTCCAACACCTGGATACGTTTATTTGTGAACCATTCCATTGTAGATG